CTTCCAACCAAATCGATTCTGTGATTCTTACTCAGTATATCTGCTCTTGTAATGCATGTGGCATTGTACCAGATGATACCAAGTTCAATTTTTCACTCCTCCCAGAATCCAGACAGCTTGGTGATACTGAGCTGGATTCTTGTTCCTTTTGGGAAATCAAAAGATCCTAACTGAAAAAATCCTTTCATTTTATAAATGTATATAAACATATAATATATAAAGGTATAAACAGAGATTGCTAGATAGGCAGTACATTTTTGATAGCAGAGGACGTAATTTGGCTTTCAGAATTTACTACGGTTGGTAACTTTGGAAAGAAGCAGCAGTTATCAAGTTAAAAAACACTCTTTTAAATTCACCATCTTTGACAAAGTGACATGAGAAGGAAGTATCAAATGTACCACACATTGACATTTTATAGGAGAATACTTTTCAGAAGAAAACCCTGTTTAAGAGACAAAAGTGACAGGTCATGTTCCATTTCAGTATCTGTCATTACCAAGCATGCTTATTATCTGCAATTTTTCTTTGATTACCAATGTCTAACCAAAAGAAACTTAACCAGAAACATTCGGAAAAGACACAGAGGAAATGTGAATGGTAACTTCAAAACAGATGACTGAGTGGAGATAGGGAGGCTTACTGACTCTTACTGAAGAGACTCAGAAATTATAACAAGCTCTCTCTGAATGATCTCTCACCTTTTCCTAATGTGATTATCCCTCTTATTGTTTTCCAGTGACTTTTCTTGACAGGACAAACAGAGCTTCCTCTGTCTTTAATTGTATTCTTGGCTTTTTCAAGGTCCTGTTGAAATAAATCCAAAGGGAAATTCAAAGGTGGTGTTACTTTAACCACATTTTAACAATATAGTGATAATGAATATTAAAATACCTCTTTATTCAGTTGGTTCTCAATTTGTTTTTCAGAGTCAGCAAGATATTGAGTTGTAGAAGAAAAATCATTTCTTTCCTTGTATGAAAATACAGGGGTTTGAGTGACAAGAAAAACAGTATGTTCTTTTTTCCCAGTTCTTTCTTCTTCTTCTGTTTGATTGATTATTTCCATGGAAATCTCAATGTTAAAAAAATCCAGGGCTGCTGCACCAATGATTCCTGAAGGGGAAACGAAAGACAAAGTATTGCCAAGAATAATCCCTTTCCATTTTACCTTTCAGAGGGCCAACAGCGGAATTTCACTGTTTCAGAAATCACTTTTCCAAAGGACTCTGGAAGAAGAAAGCAACCTATGTCGGTCGTTCCTACTACTGTTGCCATGATAAGAATATGTGCATAGAAGATAAGCTTTAACGTTACTGTTTCTTTTGCCTTGTCTGATGACAAATGCTTATTTCCACTAGAAGCTCAGCAGGATATTTGAAGAATGTGTCCAAATAATCATACACAGCAATAATATGAATTCCCATTAACCCAAAAAGTGCAAGGGGTCTGATGAGATTTTGCTATAACAATCTATTTCAGTTGTTGTGGAATATTTTCTCTTGAAAGAAAGCAAATATCTTTCATGGAGATGCACAATCAGTCCTCTCATTTCTGCTTAGCTATTAGGCGAAATACTGGACAATGACATGAAAAGCTCTGTCTGAAATTCCAAATAGTTCTGTGCTTCAATAGGAATAAGAAATGAGTTTTGACAAAGGGGGAAGTTTTGATAAACTTCTAAATTCAGCAGCATCTATAAAAGAAAGGAATATGATAATCTCTTACACACTTATAGCTGTTTAACCCTTGCACAAGTACAACTGTGGAGATTCCTATAAATGCTGGTAAAAGATTCAGTTTTGAGCAGGGTTCAACAGTAGTTTCACAGATTGCATTACTGCAGGAGTGTTTATTACAGGATGGATGGATGGATGTCTTCAGATTAACTATAATTTCTACTTCACTGTAAGTGAAGCATGAGTCACGGAGAACTAATCAACAGTTAGACACAATACACACCATGAACTTTAATTTTTCTTCCAGGAAGGGAATTCTATAGGAGTTTTTAGGAATGGACACTTATGACCTGGGTTGTCATATCATAAATCTTGATGGAAGCTACTGGGAGCTAGGAGTGATCAGGCAGTAGGGAAATACTGAGGTCAGATGTCTGTTGACTAAACTCTACCAGGCTTCAACTCCATGGCCAGTCCTCATCTGAAAAAAGATTCTGAAATCTGAGAAAAGTATAACTGCAAACATATGATTACTCTGTATATATATTGCATTACTAGCTGATTCTATCTGATTACCTGGCACAATATGGCACAGACCTCTTCTGTCAGAATAGTAATGTAAATGCATTGACCCGTCTTCATTCTTTTCTACTCTAAAAGATGGTGCATTCATCTCCTGAGGAAAAACAAACAAAACCAAAACCTCAGTATCTTTTTCTGATAAAGAATACTCGTGAATTCCACTTGTACAAAAGCATCTCATGTCTTCATAAAATAAGCAGTGATATGAATAAGTGAAAAACAGAAAATCAAATATGCTCACCTGTGAAGGAAAATCTACCATGCATTAGAGCCAATGTACTAAATAGTATCTAATGTTGAGGACTACTCAGAAAAAAATAGTTTTTAAAATTGTTCTACCATTTTTGAGTAATCAGTTTCACAACACAGGAGAGCCTGTTACAGCATCTTTTTTCACTATATGTGGAAAACCACCTATGAGATGCTGGTTTTTGTGTTGCAAACTCTAGAACTCATGTTGCCCACCCATACCTGCTCAGTAATTACTACTTGAACTTGCCTGGTAAGAAAGGGACAGGTAGCTGTGCAATGCATCCAGGTTCTCTATGAACTCGTAGAGATTTCCACCCAGTGTCCTCAGCATGTGGTCATAGCCTGAGCGTTTACAGAATTGAAAGAAATACTCTCCAAACTCCCTCAGAACCATGTCAGCTGGAACACCTGGCAAAATAAAGATACCTTAATGAGTAAGAAAGGCTTGGAAGTTCTTGAAATGCTGTCATGTGGATTACGAGTGAATGCAGAAAATTTGCAACATAGGGAGGGTGTTCCAAAGAGCACAGGACACTAAAACCTGGGCTGCGGTCTCAGGCTTGACCCAGAATGGTTCATTTTTGAGGCATAGTGACACATACCTAATATTTTGCAGGCTTTGTCGACAAGCTGCATTGTGATCTCATCTTCATAAACCTCAAAAGTCAAGAAAGAATCCTGGACTCCAGCCTGCAATCTGCAACAGAGAAGACAACATTCTTGTCTCAACAGTCCTGTAAGTATAACATGCTTGGGTGACCCAATTGGCGTTCATTAAGCACTGTTTGCTGTCAACCCACTCCTTAACTTCCCTCAAGCGTTATATTGAAAGACACTACTTCCCCTAATGTTTCAGAGTGTTGTTTTAACACTGCTGAACGGTGGTGTCCACCTCTCCATTTTTGCTATTTCATGTTATGGTATTATGGTAAATTCTTTCAGGGATTAGGGCATCATACTGTGGGATGCTAGAGCAAGTGGAGTCTCAGTTTGTCTCCTGGTCTACTGGCTTGTTGTTCAGTGTGGCCAGAATACCATGCTCTTGGGTCTCTTCAGACCTGACCAAAAACTTGTGGATTTTTTATTTTGGCTTCAATGGCTATTATATGTATGTATCTAAATATCTTGGAAAATGCCATATAGCTCATAAAGACAAAACCAGAGAAGGTGATATATTTAGCTGCTTTTCTGAAAGTACTGGAATGAAACTGACTGCGTATCAGGGATGGCATCTTTTCGGTATAATTACTTCTCGATATTGTCACAGTGAGCCAGCGAGTCTATTGCACAATTGTCTATAAGACTAAATGTCATCCTTAATTATCTGATATAACAAATTAATTGGGACAAATTAGTATCAGAGTATGAAGTGTTACAAAGTAAGAAACTCTTGCTTTTGCTCTGCTAGTTACTTCTAATAATTACTTGAAATACAGATCAGCTGCCATTTAGCAGTGAGAAATTAGTGTCCTCTGCTGCTAAACTCCTGAGCATTTTCTTTCAATATCTACATTTATTGGGAACACATTACCTTAATTTTTCCCATGTTTCTTCACCATACTTTTCAACCACCAAAGACTTCAGGCATGTGTTTATAAATCCATACTGCAAAAGCAAATATATGAACATGGAAAAGACATACTGGTCTTCAAAATGCAGCCTAAACATGCCACCTTTTTGTGTTTAAGATTCCACTGCTAATTTTATATTTCAGAAGAGAAAGTAATAACGTTTCACAGCCAGTATCTCTTTCAGTAAACACCATAGCCTTTCTCTCCGCATTTCACAAGCATTCAGCAAAACAGGGCAAACACATTCAGTCCTGTTTTGCAGATGAGGGCCCAGAGAGGCCAGGTCAGGCATGCGTTGTGCCATGCATGCAGCCCAGCGCACGTCCCCTGCGGCGGCTGGAC